CGGCTCAAAGCGGCAGCGGCGGGGTGGGGGAGTCCGGAAGGCTTCCAGGCAAAGCACTGGAAGCCTTCCAAATCCCCCTACCCTGCCCCCGCTGCTGGGAGCTGCATCGCCTATCCCAGCCATGCTCAGACTCCTGGGAGTCCGAGCATGGCTGGGATAGGCGGTGCGGGGCGGCTTCAAGAGGGGGCAGCAGCGGCAGGGGGTGTGTGTGGGGGGTCCGGACGGCTTCCAGTGCTTTGCCTGGAAGCCTTCCGGCCCCCCTACCCTGTCCCCGCCGCCAGGAGCCACCTCGTGCCGCCTATCCCAGGGAGTCCAAGCATGGCTGGGATAGGTGCCCTGTCCCCGCCGCCAGGAGCCACCTTGCGCCGCCTATCCCAGGGAGTCCATGCATGGCTGGGATAGGTGGTGCGGGGCGGCTTCAAGCGGCGGGATGGTGGTGGGGTCCGGAAGGCTTCCAGTGCTTTGCCAGGAAGCCATCCGGATCCACCTTACCCTGCCCCCGCCGCCGCTGAGAGCCTTCCGAGCTCTCAAAGGGCTTTCTCCAATGTCGGAGGGGGGACCTTTGAGAGCTTGGAAGGCAAATGTCGGCGGTGGCTTCAGGGTCCTTCCGAGGCCGCCGCCCACCGCCAACATTTTCCCCCAGCTGGGCGGCGGGGCTCCTGCTGAGCTGGGGGAAAATGGCCCTTCCGAAGGGGAATGCAGGCGGGGGCTTCGGAAGGGTCCTTCCGAGGCCACCACCGGCATTTCCCCCCAGCTGAGCGATGGGGCTTCGAAGTGATCGCAAAATCTGCATCGGTATGTGGATTCGTCGTTAAACGGGGCGCTCGTTAAGCGAGGCACCACTGTATAGAAATGCAGCATGGTTTCCGAATTGGCTGAGACAATGAGTGCTTTTGGTTGTTGTGCATTTTCCGACCTCTTTGGCTGTGTTCTGAAGGTTGTTCTTCCTAACGTTTCGCCAGTCCCTGTGGTCGGCGTCTTCAGAGGACAGCACTCTGTGAGTGCTTTGTTCATCTTGAAAAACAGGATATACAGAAGAAACTAACTTACACATAATTGAGTTTCTTTAGGTCGATGAAAGGACATGCATGCTTTTGTTTCATAGCTCTTGTCCCTCAAGAATATTTCTGTGAAATCCATGTTTTTCATACTTGCTGTGCAGATCAGCTGAGAAGCTACACAAGATCAACCTTGCCACCGTAGCAATTAGGACAGAAATCTGTGCTGTATAGGAGTTCCTCAGCTTGCTCACAGCTGGGAAAACCCTGCTTCCTGGTGTGAGGAGGCTCCCTTAGTGCTTCCAAAGTAGGAGGATGAGAAATACACAATGAATTTTTTTATATTTGTTATCACTGATTGGGCATATCTAGTGTTTCTTTTAGCTATGCTTTGAGGTTTGGCCATCCTCTCCAGTAAAGGAAAATGTGGTGGAGGAAGTGCTATCATCACCAAGGTGCTCTCTGTGGGAGCATTTCTCCAGCCAGTAATTCTATTTTGGGTCTTAGCTTTGCTGTGTATGGGCAGCAAAGCCAACTCCCTGGATAAAATAGGAAGCAGCCGATCAGTTAGGGGTGTGTGATATATCTGTCACCAAACAGCCCACAGTGCTTTTTAAAATTAATCCTGATATATGAGCTTTGCTTGGATTGATAATAATCTAATTACAGGCCAAGCTTGGTTATAACTGATTTTAGCTTTCCCTGTGAGAAGCTGGTGATCTCAGTCTAAAAATAAGTCAACCATTGATTTTACATCCAGCAGAAGGATTTTGTAAAAATCCTTGCTGTGCTTCACATTTGTTCAATACTTCCTTTTCAGAGATCTGCAACAAAGTATTGCTAGAGAACCAAGCGCTCCTTCTTTTCCTTCTGTGCCTGCATATCAAACAGGTCCTCCTGGAGGAAACAAGCCTCCAACTTCATCTGTCCCAACTCCAGCCCCCAGAACCAGTGTGGTAAGTAAAGTAACAATTCTATACCATCTCTGGTAGTAGTTATATTTATCTCCGAAGCATTTGCTTCAGAATGATGAAGAAACCAGCCTCATTTACTGATGTGTGTCAGGAGAGCTAATAAGTTAAATGATAGAGAAGCTGATCTGTGGCTAGGACTGCAGTCGTAGTTTTGCATCTCCTTGTCATCTAGTAATTTTACACATCTGTGTGAATGCTATGAATCTAAAATTCCTTAATCTAAAATGCATACAGTGTATAGAAAATAGAATCATCCTTGCTTATATCTACTTTCTTATTTAGTCTAACAAACCGCAGCCGCCAGCACGCCCTCCCCCACCAATGATTTCTTCAGCAAATACACTCAGTAACCCAGTATCAGCAACTGCTGGGACAACGGCTCCTCCAGCTGGCTCTGCCACCAACACGGCGCCTTCGCAGGCACAGGGGCCACCTTATCCAACATATCCAGGTTACCCTGGGTAAGTTCAGAAATATGAGCTAACAATCACTTGCAGTGTTGGTAAGAAATCTCTTTTACTTGCTCCGGCTGTTCTTCAACAATTAAGGATTCATTAGAGAAAGGAATGTGGAGCTTCTGTATCTGAAATTTCTCTTGTGATCTCTACTTAGTGTTTATGAGGTTCAGTATCCTATGAAACACATGGAATCTGTGATAAAATCTAGCTTTACTTCTTAACAGCTCTACTCTGGATTTCCACTCAGACATTTCTTCTCATAAGGCAAGGGGCAGCAGCTTTTCAGGATTGGGGACCATACTGGCTCCCCAGCACCCACCTATTGTGCTGCTTACAAACCTAGAATTCCTTTCGAAAACAAGGGACTACTGGGCTTGTCAACGCACTGAAGTAACTATCTGTCCTTTACCATGCTAAAAACTATGGTTTAAACTCTAAACCAAAGTTAAATAAATTCAAAAATGTAAAGTTTTCTGTCTCTGTTCCTTGCAGCCTTCTGTACTCACAAAGAAGCTGTGACATAGGGAGGACTTCCTAAACAGTGTTGAGATATGAAAGGGGAAGATTGCTGATTTGGCTTCCATATGCTTCCTTAATCTAGAATTCATTGTAGGCAAATCTCCTCTCTAGCAGCCACTTGTATGCTAGAGATGTTTGGGAAGAGGATCCCTAACTCTCCAGAGACTTCAGGTTGCTGCAGGGGAAGGAGTGAGAAGGAAACATTCCTAACTTTCTTAAATTAGGATCCACGCCTGTATTTTTGTACTGTAGATATTTAGTTACCTATGTGTGTGCTTGGAAGCCAGTATATTGAAGAACTGAAACTTGCATGTTGTACTATGGATATTTTAAAATATATTTATAATTTCAAAAAAAGACATTTTCATATGTTTTTTAATTTCAAGCTTTTAATGTATGGCCTTTTGTTTTCACAGATACTGCCAGATGCCTTTGCCGATGGGGTACAATCCATACATGTACGGCCAGTACAATCTGCCATACGCACCTTCACCTATGTACCAAAATCCTGGACAAGCACCATATCCAGGAGGACCTCAGCAGCCTAGTTATCCTTTCCCACAACAGCCCTATTATCCACAGCAATAGCACATTTGTGAAGACATACTGCTTGTTATAACTAAAAGAATCTTGCAATAAGCCTATTAAATCTTTAGTTCCAGTTAGTGTACCTCACTGTATTGAAACAAGTTTGTAACTTCTTTCTCTGGTTAATTACTCCCAAAGGTTCTCTGCACCCAGTTGAATACAGGCTGCATTAGACCTCTTATGTTGAGAGTGTGGCAGGCTGCTAAAATGTTATACAGATAGAACTGGATTACAGCAAAATTTTATGCTAAATTAGTTAAACTAGACCAGAACATTTATTGGAAAGTGATTTCCTAAATACTTTAAATGAGACAATTGAAATAAAAAGCAAAATCATGCCAGTACTGGCTGTGATGTAGTCTACAAGACTAAATAGGATTTTCTTCTGTATTACATTGATTTGTATTTTGAATTTGAGTTTTGCTACGAGTATGTTTGGTTTAATAATCAAGGCTTTGTAAATTGTAAGTGTGGACTAAAAGTGCATAGGACAGTTTAAAAAAAAACAGTAGATATTTTTATTACCCTATAACCAGGTTTTTGAAATTTGGACATGTTCTTTGGCACTGGACTTTGAAACTGAGGTTTCGATTAAATAGTCACAGTTGATTGTATTTAATTTCCTGTAACATAGAAACAATTCCTTAAATCAAGAAGTTGTTATCCCAGAGTGAGAAAGAGAAAATAAATCAACTTATTTTTATCAAATCTTTCAAAAGAATAGTTCTTAGGTTTTGAGGAGTTTATCAGGGATGCATTGCAGCGTAAGTTAAGTTCATGATATATGACTTGGCTGGCAAATAAAATACCTTATTTTGATATTTTGTTCCTGGTTATCTAATGATGTCAGTCTGTTTGAATTGCTGAGAATCCAGTTGCTATCTACAACATCTCCATCCTACCTCATTATGTGTGCCTGTACTGTGTATACGAGGATAATCCCTTGCACCCTGCCTTCTGGGTTCTCTGCAAGAAGCTTCAGCTAAAATACTATAAATAATAAAACTTAAACAAATTTATTTCACTAATTAAATTTTTTTTGTTAAAGATGTAGTGGAATTTTTAAGGTTTGGAGTAGTTTGAGTGCTTGGTACTATTTAAAAGTAAAAATGTAATATACCGTTTGTATGGCATCTCTGTCCTATGCACTCATGTTCAGTGTAGATGATTTGTTGGTGGCAGGAATATTTGACAAGTGACAAGTAGGGATATGCTGTACAGCAGGCATCCCCAACTCCTAGTCCACGGCCCGGTGCCAGGCCATGGCAAGACCGGGCCGTGGAGACAGATCTCCTGCCCCCCCCCGCATGCACACCACCCGTGCACACCACCCACATGCACAGGTGTCCCGCTCCTCTGTGCATGCACATGAGCACATCCCTCCATGAATGTGGGGGGGGGGTGCCCCCCCAGCCAGTCTGCAGTTCAGAAAAGGTTGGGATGACTGCTGTACAGGGTTTTGGTTTTTTTTGGACCCCAACTCTCAGAATTCTCCAAGAACTTCCCAGGCAGAATTCTGTGAGTTCCAGCCCAAAGTCCCACACTTATATTTTGGAGTCTGGATGGCATTCTGAGGCCCTCATTTCCTATTAGTAATATAAAGAAGCCACTGCAATGCTTCCTGGGAATATTTATTTATTTATTTATTTATTTATTTATTTATTTATTTATTTATTTATTTATTTATTTATTTATTTATTTATTTATTTATTTGATTTTTACCCCGCCCCTCTAGACCATGTCTACTCGGGGCGGCTTACAAAATAGTACTCTGGGAAGTGGCCTAAGGATACCATGACTATAATTCCCAGAAAGTACCATTGCAACCTTGTTTTTGTACTTTACAAAGAAAGTGAAAGTTTCAGGATGCCATGCAGTCTCTAAAATAGGCCCTGTCTGGGTAAGTAAAACATAGGTGTCTGTAGATATGGGTCTGTAGGTTGAAATGACCAGAATTCTGTGTAGAGAATTCTTTGTGAATTTTAGGAATTGGAATCCACAAAAAAGAGAGAAAAGATAGCAAGTGTGGTTGGGTTAAACAAGTGTTTGCGCCCCAGTCTCAATTTTAAACTTAACTTGAAAATCAAAACACCATCACCTTAAACTGCATTTAGGTCATACCAAGATGAACTACTTGGGATTCTTACCTGTATGCTGTACAAATTTAAATACTATGGCTGGGATTCAAATAAGCACTTGTAAAATCTGTTAGCATCAAAAGGTAGCCATTTTTTTCCTTTCACCTGCATTCCTTCAAGTCATTTTTAGTGTTGATAAAGGCTTTTTGATGTTCAAGATGGGATCGATCGCAGTGTGGTTGGGTACTTGTAGAGAGTTTCAATATGAAAAATCGCTGAAAACCTTGGGAGTCCTTGGGATTCTGGCATTTAGATACTGCTTTTTCCAAGTAGTGAGAAACACTTCACATTATCTTTATAATCCATTATTATTTTTTGCTCCAACACTTATCTTTGCTATTAAGTTAAGGAGAATAAAACTTGAAGCTTAGAGATTGAAAGTAGTATTTACTGTCAAAAAGCAGGATGCAAACAAATCTGAAGTTCAGTCTTCAAGCACTACCCATGCAAGTTGTTGGCACCACTTTTCATATGTGAGGAGAAACCTGTGTCTGTATTGTGCATACATAGTAGAATGCTGTCACATTTACCTGTGAACCATATGCAACAGGAACTTAGTTATCTGTTTATTTAAAGTATTTTTACCCACCTTTCTCCTTAAAAAGTACCAAAGCCAGCTTCCATCATTAAAAAAGCAATATTTAAAAGCTAAAAACAGTAGGTATGCGAATATTAAAAAAGCATGCATTGATCATGCCCATATATTGTCTACCTATATAGATGAAGAGAGACAACGAGGTATAGTAGATGAGAGTATCAAACCTGGACTTGGAGACCTAGATTTAAGTCCTTGCTGCACTATGGCAACTCACTATAGAGTGGCATTGATAAAATACTTCTAAAACATCTTACCTTAAACTTTTATTAGGGATAATATAAATGAAGTAATTTGTAGGATGTAACATACACATAACACGAAGTGGTTACAGGTACATTTCTAGCCAACAGAAAAGTCATTTAGTGCTGTTTAAACAGAAAGAGCCTAATGAGCCACCTCTGCATGATATTCAGATTTTTTTTTAAAGAACATGGGGAACATATCCTAAAATAAAAGACCTTTTGCCTATATGAAGATACTCTGTGCCTTGGGTTGTAGGTTGATTGGCTAGCAAATGTCTTCCTATATGTGGAGGTCTTCAATAAATTTTACAAACCCAGAAATGGGCAGGAGCAAGAATTCCCAATTCCTAATGAATTCAATCAAACTCAATGAAGTAAAAACTCCTTAGGGGGGAAAATAATTTTTTGTGACATGGAGCTTGAAGTAGAAAGGGAAATCTTTAAGTTAATGGAAATGAGGCTTGAGGCACATAAAGAGACTTAATTTAGAGAGTGGATTGTGAAATGCTAATAACTCCTTATTTGGTAGAAGCTAAAAAAAGGTAAGCAAGGCATTCTACAATCAAGCAGTTATCCTAACTGAAATGTATCGAGTGTTTCATTGTCAATAGCCTAGTTACTCCTTGTTTTATAACATACCGTACCTCCACTTGTGAAAAACCTAGGCAGATCTTCTAAAATGGGGATTCTGTGTTAAGAGGCATCATGCTTCACTGAAATTTAATGATACCCTAATGTAAGGTAAAGGTTAAGGTTCCCCTTGACATTTAGTCTAGTCGTGTCCTACTCTAGGGCGTGGTGCTCATCCCCGTTTCCGAGCCATACAGCCAGTGTTTGCCCGAAGACAGTTTCCGTGGTCACGTGGCCAGCGCGACTAGACATGGAATGCCGTTGCCTTCCCACTGAGGTGGTACCTATTTATCTACTCACATTTTTACATGCTTTTAAACTGCTAGGTTGGCAGGAGCTGGGACAAGTGGTGGGAGCTCCCTCTGTTGCGTGGATTTGATCTTACGACTGCTGGTCTTCCGACCTTGCAGCACAGGCTTCTGCAGTTTAACCCGCAGCACCTCCACTTCCCCATAATGTAGATAGTAGATACTGTATTTGAAAAGTAAATTCTCCAGCAGAGGGCAGTCTGAAATCATTCAATAGAAAAAGGTCTACATTATTTAGAAAGTTACATAACCTACTTCTTACCTTACATAAATAACTAAAATTAGATTAAATCACTCAACTTTACAGAATGATTTCCAGCATTAAAAAATAAAAAGACTGTCATTTGATAATGAAAAATTTGAGTCGGCAGTAGCTAAGCTCTGCCAGCAAGCAAGCGGGTTCAAATATGATGCCACCTTCACTGTCACACCATATCACTGCTTGTCATCTGCCTTTTCTCCCAGCAGGGGGGCAGGACTGGAGAAAGGGTTCTGAGGGTAGTTATAAATATTTGAGGAGGTTCTTTCACTTCTGTTCAAAGAGACTAAGATGCACTGTAGCTGTGTTTTAAAAATAGTGAATTTTTATTTTCACAGTCAACACCAATCAGCAGACTAGCTGCTATACTCTGAGCCAGCTACAGTTGTTGAGTGGCCTTCTAAAGGCAGGCAGCCATTTATGTCGATGCACTGCAACAGTCCAGTTTAAATGTTTCCAGGAAAAGAATGATTGTGGCCAGCCCACTGCCTGAAGTGATGAAAGATATGTTGCAAGCCCTTGAATCTTCAATGACAAGAATATGGTTGAAGATTTTAACTTGAAACAAGATACACTTTAATGGGCACCTGCTTGCTTTAGACAGTAAAAAAATTCTGCAAATTTTGCCTTACGGCCCAGAGTATTAATTTAGTAAACCGAGAAGGTGGGGGACGAAGCCTCGTGGTCCTTGGATGAAATCTAAAAATGGATGGGTAATACCTGTATTAGACTACTAAAACACCAAAAACGGGTGAGCTTTTGAGCCATGCAGTATCTACTCAAGATATTTATGTAACCTTGTACGTATTTGAATTTACCAAATACTGCAGACAATTTTAGATTTTCCCACTGAAGGTCCAGCAACGTCTTCTGCAGTTGGAAGACCAATATGTAAAATTAGATGATGAAGCTATCAAAATTAGGTAGATAAACTTTTAGATACTAATACATAAGGAGAACTGAATGGCATGGATTAGGAATGGGGATATTTGTATTTGGATAAGTATATGGGGATATATGGCCCTAATGAGGGTCCAGCCCCAGGGACCAAACAGTCCATTCATGCATCCTGCCATGATGACAGTCCTGCTCGTCCTGTCAATGACACCCAGAGCTCTGCTGTCTTCTTGCTTTGCTGGCCACTCCAGGTGGGGGTGGGAGGATGAGCTTCCCCGCATGGCCGCTGAGTGGCTAGCTGAGCAGGAATACAACGGAGCTCCGGGTGACACTGGCAAAACGAGTGGGAACATTGCCGCAGCGAGACATGTCAGTGTATGGTCTGGTCCCAGAGGCTGGACCTTCCTTAGGGTCAGCTGGGATGGGGATATTTGTATCCAAATACAAATATCCCCATCTCTAGTATGGACCATAGGTTCTTAGCCTGTGGTCCAGGGGCCACAGTGACTTCATAGGGGCCCCGCGAAGGCTTGAAGAAGTGTTACGATCTTTTGCAGATAAAACAGAATGAAAGCAAGCAAGAAAAAGAAACATAGAACAGAATCTTAATTTCCCTTGCTTGTTTGTCTAAAACCTGGCTTTTCTAACCCACCACCTCCATTAAAAACAAACAAATATAAAGATCAGTTATAAAAATAACTGATAGCAAATAACTGTTTGATATTTCTACACACGGTGAGAACATGC